AAGAAAATAGTTTGTCTTGTCAAAGGGTGTTTCTAAGGTAACTGAACACGCCTGTGTGGACTTTGACGAAAATAAGACGATTATTTAAAGTTCTGGATACAACTGTGGTAACCAACAGTTATAGTGGCGATTTTAAAGTGTAACAATCGCAGATTGTATTGTAATATCAGAGTAAAGAAGAAGAATTCATCTGTTAATTGGGTTCTAAAGTAACTGAACCAGCCTATTTGGACTTTTGACGAAAAAGAGAATTATTTAAAGCTTTAGACTAAACTGAGATAACCTATAGTGTTTTGATTATGTTATTTTAAAATAAGTGGACTGCGAGATGTTTGTTTGTTGTTGAAATTTATTGCCAACAAATCACAGATACTTACTGTAAAAAATATGGCCCTATATAAAATCTGACAATATTTTGGGTTTGTTTCACCTTTGACCCCATAAAAGGCTTAAATAAAAAATTGCAAATATGAAAAAATGGCGATGATTGAAAAGTGTTTGAAAGAAGAAGAAAGAAAGAAAGAAGAAAAAGAAAATATAGATAAAACAGTATGTCTCTCTGCGGAGACATAATAATATAACAAACAACAGTGGAGCTACATTAAGCATTTCAGTTGAGCTCATGGGAGTATTTGTTATACAAATGGTGTACAGGTAAACTATAAATAGTAATGGCAGCTTTTCAGTTTATTCCTGGTATTTAATATCATTATTACCCATGGAAGAACAGAAGGGTGAGGACCTGTCGTATTGATTTTTGTTTTAACATTGCCATGTGCATGAAAGAATATTGTTGGAAGCTATGTTTTAATGTTTTAATTTGTTTGTAGGCTAGAGAGAGCTGCAGGTTTTAATGATGACATTAAGATTGGTCTAGAAAAGGTTAATTTGACGTCAGAGGTTTTCTCCTACATTCGAAACTAGATTATAAATACGAGATGGTAATGAAGATTGTAGTGAACTATTTGTTAGAAGATAGTAGAGTGAATCAATCAGTATATTACCCATCGCGGTTACTTTGTGCAAGTAGGGTGATTAAAGTTTACGTTGGCCCTAAATAAAGTGGTTTGAATGTCATTTGTAACGTAGACCTATAACATTTTATTACAATGTACAAATGTTCAAATTTGTAAGTACTAGGAATGCTCAGGGATGAAATATATTAACTTGTTATAATTTAAGTGGACTGCATTTTAAATTATTTCCACCAGATAATTTAATAAGAACCCACCAACAAAAGAACAATGTTACAACAATACCATGCACGATGCTAAAATACAGAGAACGAAATTCACACACAGGTCGTAAATAAGATAAAAATGTTGCTGACTACATAGTACTTTCTTTTGTTTAAATACGTTTTTAAACCATAATTTACAATCGAGTGAAACAATACACTTTAGTGGAAAAGTTTGTTAAAATTCAAAGTTTCTTAATGTTACAATTGTAACGAATTTGTGGTTATATATTTATTTTAATGTCAACGTTTGTTTGGATTGAGTTTATATTTAAAAACATGCCTAGCTTATAGTATTAGATATGTATTGCGAAACTCCCGCCAATTCTCCAAAGTTGTAGAAGATTCTCAAGAGTAAGAATCAAAAGTATGTGTGTGTGTACGTAAACGCTTTAATTTGCATTGTTGCGTAATCTGAATTTTCTAGAAAATCTTCCCACGCCTATAAATATAACCAACTCCAC